TGTGCGCGCGCGCGCGTAAATGTGGGCATGTCTGTATATATGTGTGTGTGTGTGTGTATGAGAGAGAGAGAGAGAGCGCACGAAAGTGCGTGCATGTGAAAATACATATAAACAGAGTAGGAAGAAGATCTTTATGAAGTACCTCAAAAACGCATGAATTGAGAATTTCCTCCATTCTGAAGCGGGTTGAAAAATAAACTTTTATGATTTAATGCTGAGCATTACTAAATATAATATCCATTAGTGTGAGAGCAAGAAAAGTTCGCGAGTTCAATCTTACCGTCTGAAGAATTAATTAACTTTCTGTCTCAACTGGCTTCGAACCGGTAGCCTGTCCAAACTTTATATTGGTTTTATTTTATTTATTGCTAGCCGTACAGCCAGTTGGCAGTTGGGAACTACAGATTGTAGGGGAGGAAATAAAAGTCAGTGCGTACTATAATTAGAGTTGGTTTATTGTTTCTTACAAAATATAAAGTTGGCGAAAGTTTTTATATTATTTACGAGTACTCCTCTATTATTAGCGTGGTTTTGAATATTACTACGCTGTATTGTCGCTCCTTGAATAGTAAACTAGTTAGGTATTGCGTTAAAAGGATGAAGTTTCTCACTATGTTTCTACATTAGTTATTAAAGTATCTATTATTAGTTTTTACCCCTGGTATCACCCATGTGCTAAATTACAATATAATCTACTCGTGTACCAAATGAAAACTGTTCGGTAGTTTTTGCGGGAAAGACTAACAAATCTATCGTTACAAATTCTCGTGTTTATAACATTGAAATGTCTTTTTACAGGATTTTAGAATAAAGATTTACAATGGCGGTAGGTGTGATAATCAAGAAGTGTCCAAGTACCTGTCATATATTATCTTGTCTGTCACTTGGCTAGAGATAAGTAATATATAGGAATATCTATGTATACGTTGTTGTTACAATATCTATAATATATATTGGCCCAATAACGTATATATTAAATCAGATATCGAGATGACATATCGGATCGAAATGAATATAGATTTCCAACTGCTACTGGCAATATAAAAATGGGCGATGGCCTTTCCTCCGCCAACAATGTCTAGAAAATAGATTCCGAAACTATTTTCGGTAAGGTTATCCCTTTACCAAAATAAAGTGAAACCTCAGATCTGATTAGAAAATTACTTTAAAAATTCTTTCTCTACTTTTATTCCCACTGACACAAAATACTAATTTAAAAGCTTTGCGGTAGATTACAAAGCAATCTTTTGCGTACGCAAATGCCCGCTTTTACAGGTTGCATAAAAATCTACAAGCATCGTGGCAAATCACATTCCAAATTTAAAAATCTATAAACAAATATATATAGGTATTTGCTTTCTGTTCTCGCCAATTGCTGTATTTTATTTAAACTAATATATCAATAAAACCTCCATATTTACCGACCGTTCGAAAACATGGATCGTCTACATATAATATGTTGTACATACACAGGCAGCTTACGACATGAAAAATGGCATCGTAACATGGATTTTAAGTGGTATGGATATCGAGATTTATGATTTTCTGAACGTTGGTTAGGAAAATGGGATATTGATAGTGTTATTAAAGGTTACGGCAATAAATCTAAAGCAGTTTATTCGCGTTTATATACTAATAATGTTCGCTTTTTCGCGTTTAGAAATAGACAAGAATTAAAAAAATCTATTGCCCTTATTAAGATCTCAGATCCCAGGTTGTTTATAACAGATTGCTTTTAGCCATAAGGTCACCTTTTGTATATACACATTCTGTATAAATACCCTTGTATATATCTCTTTTATGCGCAATAAAGAATTTATTATTATTTTTTTTGATTGATCAATATTTCTTACCTTATGTACAGTAATTGGCTGGTTATAATTTTATTATATGTATGTTATATATATACATACATATATTTGCCATAGCTTTACTCGCACGAACCCTTTTTACAGCTTTAAAAGTCGGTTGGAGGATCAGGAACCTATAGGAAGAGATAAGTGAACAGCTTTGTGATTTTATGAGGGTTTTGTTTTAATCTTTTAAAAGATATCAGTGTGTGCATTTTTTTTTTAGTTGTTTCGGTAAATTTATTTGTATAATCTTTTTGAGAATGAAAATTACAATAAATACCTCTGTTCCATTCATGTTACTGACATGAAGTGGTTGTGTTTGCATGGCTCTGTTTTAGTTTTAAGGGTGGGATATGGTAGGGAAATTATAGGCATAATACCTTAGTCCTCAAGAATGGCAACGCACCAGGGATACACAATATACTCTGTTATGTCCACGATATTGTTCATGTCTATAGACATGAACAATATCGTGGACATAACAGAGTATATTGACCTATAGGCCATGATTGCCACTTTTTATTAGGTGGGCGATCAGCTTGTTAGCCATCCCAAGTTGTATAAAAAAACCTTTTTTTTCTATGCAACTTAAAATGGCAATCAAGCTGACGGCCCACCTGATGGATAGTGGTAACCGTCACCTATAGGGGGAAAGGGATTATTAGTAATGGAGAATGAGAATCCCATTGCTAGCAATATACCCAACCAAGTCGACCTCCTCGCGGTTCTCCCTGGAAACTATCATGGTTAATTCCTGATGAATTCATCATAATGGGCTAACTGGCCTGTTTTCATTCTTATCTATTACCCTTCACTGGTGCTCCTCCAGCGTATCCCGTTAGCGCAGGCGAGGTTACCGTACCATTTTTACCCATCAAAAAAATACCCGTCGCCTATAGATGACATGAGCAGTACCATGGACATAACAAAGTATACTGTTTCGCCCATAATACCCCCATGCGTTGCCATTCCTGAGGACTCAGGTGTGATTCCTCTGTACCCAGTAAATTCACGCCATATCCCACCCTTCAAACCAAAACACAGCCATGCAAACACAACTCCTTCACGGTTAAAACACGAATGGGACAGAGGTACCCAAGCAATCGACTTTTGTACAAAGTCTCCCTCTGGTAACCTACCTAGAAACAAGGATACTTTTGAATTTATGTGAATAAAACAAATGTAAGTTTTTGTACAAAATATATTATTATTTTTTAACATTTCTGATGGTTAACTGAGGTTTTAAATGAATTATTTCTACACAAAACGTTCGTATGCGAATTGTAAATACAAAATATAAATTTATGGAAATACAAATAAAACATATCTGTAGCTTACAGGTACTTGTAGGTTTACAGAAAATATTGATGTTATAATAATGAAAGCAATAAATATAGAACTACTAGTGTTTGTTTATTAATAAAATATAGATATCCAATATCAGCTTTTTTCCATCACTTTGCCCGCTTGAATTAGTACATAAATCATCCTATGTATTAAGGTTATAACCTCATTTACAAAATTTCATTCAAATCTATACAGACGTTTAATAAACCATCTAAGATCATTTAAAAACTTCCACTCTCTATTAATATTATAAATGTGAAAGTTTATAAAGTTGTATGGATATTAGAAAATTTGGTACACATGTAGTTTCTGTCTTAATATATAGGATACTTTATGTACTAATGCATATGGGCAAAACCGCGAGAAATAGCTAGTTTTAAATATTAGTAAGATAAACACTAATATCAGAAGAAATCTGATTTGTCAGCATCTTGTTTAGCTGACGTTTTACAAGTGAGATTCGATGAGTATTTTATCCAAAGAAAGATAAGTAGACATACGACAATTTAGACACTTCTATGCTAAATGGATGCACAAAGTCAATGTTCTTGACACATTTTCCTTTAAAAAAAAATGTTCAATTTCATAAGAACACTTCCCATAGAACACTCTCTGCCGTAACTCCTTAATGCTAATGACTTCGTTATCACTCGCTGTAGTGTTTGAAATAATATAAATGATGATTTTGTATTGATGATTGATCATTATAGTGGATTATCGTTGTTTTATTTTCACTGCCTTGTTAAGCGTACGATAATAACTCATAACTACTTGTATTGAGTACATATTATTAACAAAGTCTATGCCGTTTTTACTAAAGAGAATTTAAATTCTGAAAATTGTCAATATTTGTGTAAACTTTCAAAGTTCAAGCAAAATAAATTAAGATTGTGTTTTACAAAAAGAATCGACTTCAATTATTGCAACATTAGTTACTTTAATTTAAAATTTAAACTAATGAATCGATTTTGATAAAATTTCTATGAAATTAATTTGAAGTACATCCTTTTAGATAATAAAAATTTTCTAAATCGGTTTATAACTGATGTAACAAATATAAAAAAAATACAACCGAATACTTCTTTGTGAAGTTGGTTGATGAAATGATTTTACATGTAACATGGGAGAGTAAGTCGTAGAAGACCTGAAGTGACGTATGTTCGTCATTTTGGTTTTTATCTATACTTATAATAAATCTGTAGAGAGGTCAATTCTGTACATGAAATATATTTCCAAAATAACTATCAGGGGGTGATTAGTGATCGATACTGATGCCAAAAAAGCAATCAGTAAAATTTTTATCTGTCTGTCTGTCTGTATGTTCGTTATAGAAACAAAAACTACTTGACGGATTTTAACGAAACTTGGTACAATTATTCTTCATACTCCTGGGCAGGTTATAGTATACTTTTAATCACGCTACGATCAATAGGAGCAGAGCAGTGAAGGGAAATGTTGGGAAAACGGGAGAAGTTACTTCATTTTGAAGCTTCCGTCGCGTGTACAGCTTTAATGGCCACTTTTTAAAATTTAAAAATGTCCACCCGTGCGAAGTCGGGACGGGCCGCTAGTCCTTAAATAAAATGCAGCACATGATACTGAAAATACAGCTTTATATACGTGGAAAAAATTTTAGAATTCACTTAAGTTTTTTTTAATTTATTCATAACAAATAAAAATAATTAAATCTCAAATATTTGCTCTTTATTTTAATAGTTTAGATACAGCAGTTATGGAAAAGATTGTTAGATTTATCGAGAAGAATGGACAAGATATAAAATTGTAGTCATTAAGAAAATATTTCACAAGTTTTGGAAAATAAAAAAAAAAAAACAAAAAAATTGTGATGTAAATATATTAAATTGAACGATGATTCTTTTAATGTTCCGATAAAGTAATGCTCAAAGTAATGCACTATAGGCTTTGCTTTTATTATTATATCGTTACGATAAAATTATAGCGTACCATACTGTACCGTGTTTTAATACAGTGTAGAAATTTAAATGAAAGTCATTTACACAAGTTTCAAACGGAATGACATTTGTGTTAGAAGACCATACTTATAATTAAAGTCTATAATAATTAATATAACATTAATCAATTTAATTGTTTATTTTTCATCTATAGCGGGTTTTAGCGGGTTTTTATAAAGGCGTTTACTAACAGTGCATGAACAACCATCAGTTAAAAAATACATAAATTATTGCAAATATACAACTATTTTCTTGCTAATAATCGTGCGTAGTTCGCCTTAATGTTAAGAAATTCAAGATCCCTTGGAAGTGAAAAACAAATTAATTTACAGTAGTCCGCCATTTTGCTAGCTTCCAATACAGTGTGCTCCCAAGAGATCATTGAATTTATATTAATACTAAGTGTTTTTACACACGAGGGGCACTTGAGCGATGACTGGGGTAACTGCAGCAGTTGATAATAGTTGTCAACGCATCAATGGTAAATATTGCTTCATTTTTGACTTCTATTAATTAAAGTTAATTTAGATTCTAGTCGTCGAAAGATTGAAAGAGGAATTTAAAGAATTTATTTAGTACCTTGAGAAATATAGGATCGATTAAGAATTTTGTCCGTTAACAACTGTAGTAGTAAAAAAATTGTGTTACACAAAGGTATTTTTTTATGAAATGTAAAATGGCAAAGAAACAGATGGCCCACGTGATGGAATGTGGTATTTATCGTCTATATACATGAACAAAGTCATGGGCATAACAGAGTATACTGTGTCGTCTACGATACCCTTTATGCGATGCCATATTTGAAAATTAAAATGTTATGCCTTTATACCCAGTGTACTACCATATACCAATCTTCAAACATTCAACTAAAAGCAATATTTTACAATGATAAAGTTACATTAAAGAGTCCACTATTTAGAAATAAAGCTGTTCATTGTTACTCTTCTTTTTGTAATGCAGATTTTATGTACATATACAATATTAAAGACTCTTCATTCATTCATTCATTATACAATAAATAAGAAAAGCGAGAAAACGTATCGATTATGTGTCGACTTGTAGTAACTCTAAGCGGCATCAGCTGTAGTTACCTCCGTCCTCGCTCAAGTGCCCCTCGTATGTAGGAGCACTAATAACATTCTTAATTTAGCTTCATAATATATTTACATTATATTAACAAGTACCAACTAAGGATGACGTGTAAGATGTTTCAGTCAAGATATTCAGAGGTGGGCTCCCAAATAAAGCGACGAACAGGGAAGCGTTAGCGAGAAAATTTTTGCTTCTGTCTCCATTTTAATTTTCTTTTTAACTAAATGTGATTTAATTTATATTTATTTATATTAAAATCGCATTTTTTATTTCACATGACAAATAAGCTTTTACATCATATATAAGTCAATTTATTTTCACTTTCAATTGAAAATTAACTATAATTTTAACAACGTATGGATTATTTTAAAAGTAAACTAAAATAGATAACTTTAAAATATAAAATTTATATTTTAAAGTTATTGATTAATTAATTATTATATCTTTACGTTATTTATGATGCTCAGTCATTGTTATTATTATACAATAACAATGGGATCGCATACCATAATACACAAAAGTACACAATCTTCATTTGAGAACCAACCATTTTCGTTGTTCGAGTAGGTTAAAAATTATTTCAAGTACAGGCATAGGTAATTTTTAATCAATTTCACGTTATCGCTTTAGCGTGGTTTATTAGAGACCCACCTAATTAGAGTAATATACTTGAAACTTTAATGATACTAAATGAGAATCTGCGGTGCTATAAAATAAGATGAGAGCTTTATAGTCTGAAAAATGCATTCAATACTTTCAACGTATCTACAATATGTTACAATTGATTTTATTTATGCATGCATATTGCGTTTTATGGTGTGTTGTTCCATAACATTTGCAAGTTATATCTAATTATCTTGCATTTTTCCTTTTTTTCCTTCTTATTAGATTCTCTCTCATAATTAACAGGTAATGGGTACTTCCAAATTTTATAAAAAATCATTACAACTATATTTATCTAAATGATAATTGCTTAATTGTTTGGCTACTATCACCTTGTCCTAACCTATGATCATTTCTTGAAAGCATTAATTAGTTCGGTATAGGATAGGTATATACATTAATTACACAACTATTAATTGAGCGCCTATTTTTACAAAGTACCCTCGAGTAAATACAATGGTTTTAGAAGCGCAGAATTTGAGCGCGTAAAACTAAACGATTCACTTTAAGTTTTTGAGAATCACAATTTTTGAGTTGTCGTTCAATTATTAACAAGGTAGGGCCTAGGCGCTCAATACAGTGTCTGTCAATGTAAACTCCAATCTAAGGGAAGATCTCGTGACGTAGAACGAGAATGAAGAGACGGCGGTGCATGGGCACCGCGGGCCGCGTGTCAGTAATCTAATGACTCCTCGTCAGGTGACCTCTTACGGCAACACAAACGCCAAGCAGCACCCAACGCGCAAATGCCCAAAGCAATTGCTAAACCAGCCCCCAATGCCGGAGCTGTCCACTCACCTGCAACTGAATTTAATGCCCTCGCACACAGTTCTGGTGCTTCATCGTTCAGTTGACCCAAAGGTGTGCCACCTAAAGCATCCAAGTAGCCCAAGCGACGTAAACTATCTTCGGAATATGCTTCCCTAGCTTTTTTCTCCTCTGCAGTCCAGAATTTCCTTTCTGTTGATGTTACATTTGGACAATTGACCACACCATTACATATAAGTCTTGCAGGTATACAAAGAGCATCATCTCCAGGACATATGAAATCGCAACCTAGTCCCGAGTCTGATGATTTTAATCCACCATCAGTTAACCGAGATGTCATAAGAGTACCGTCCGAGTTTTTAGGTAAATGAAAAAGGCCCGTCCAGGCAATTTTAAATGCAGCCCGTGCTGGGGAGGCGCTACCTATAAACACTATTCTGATTGATCTAGTTTTGTCTTTTTCTATTACTAATGGATCATCTAGGGATTCAAATCCAAGCTCACCAGCTGATAATATTGGTAATTTGTCAGTTTCAGAAACATTTCCACCGCAAATCGAAAGATAAGGATCAATTCTGCCTGGTAAATAAATTTGTATGTTTCCATCTTCACAATGCCTAGAGGCAAATTTAATGCTGTCGAAGTGTAACCAGATATCTCGTTTTTCCTCTATTTCCAAATCCCAAATACATTGAATACGTTTTGGTGGCTCGGTATAACCTAACGCTTCTAAATGGGGATATACTATTTCCCCATCTGATGCTGCTGCTAGTACAGCTGGTCCACATAAAGGTCCGTGAACAAATTCATAGCGAGCTTCAAAAAGTGGCGAAGGATTCTTGAAATACGATGCTGCAGCATGAGCGTTATCTACTATTAATTGTAAATTCAATGTTTCACCAGAGGATACTACTCTGTAAGGTCTTGCTCTGGATACTGTATTAGCGTGTTTGGCACAGAGACAAGAACCGAGAGATCTTTGTACAGCTAAATGTAGTGGCAAGGGTGTAGTGGTGACTCCCAATGATAAATTGGCGCTCTTTCCGCCAGGAAGTGGTTCCCAAATAATAAGTTTGTCGGCTCTATCTTCGTAGCAATTTTGGCAAGAAACCGGCGTGTACGGATGTTCCTGTAAAGAAAGATCAATTAAAACTTTTTAAATGACTTATCGTTACAGAAATATCTTTTTGGGAATTCTCAAATTCTGTTGTAAGTGTTAACCATTAAGAAATCTATTAATATGAGTGATAGTAATTTCCTTCAACTTAAAGACAAACAGCATTTGAAAATTTCATTTTCTAAAATACCTTGAAATTAACGCTCAGTATCGTGAGTATAACTCTTGCGTATATTCTCTTATCGGTGACAAATCTGTATAAACAATGAACATCTTCTCCCACTGGTGCTTGTTTGTATACTAAAGTATTTAGAGGCGAACGGAGTCTTCCAGCTCTTTGTTTCCAAGATGCTATAACTTCATCACAAGCTGTTCCAGGCACGGGCTCACCAAAGCGTGTGTTGTTGAAAAAGTCATAATGAGCCCAATAGTAAAGGGATGATCTGAAATAAATTAATTCAGTTACTTTTCTTATTTTATTACATGCATCGTAAGATCCCGAATATTTTGTAATTCGCTGTTGGATCTGAAAGTTAATTTTGTTATACACACCCGCTATAACTTCCAGTTTTACTCTCAAATCTCACAAACATAGCATTTCCTGTAGAAACAAAGTCATGTTTCTCCATCGGTCTGCTGAAAGTGTCGCAGAATGTTTTTATAATACGTGCATCATCCGGTCGGGGGGCATCATATAACGTCAAGGATTCCCCACAATCTCCCGTCCACGGCACTATCGGAGATTCTATGCGATTTATTCGGAAACTGAAAAGGAGTATTAATTTTATTTTAGTTGATAAGTAATCTTTAAAATAATAAATAAACAATCCAGAGGGAGACTTTGTACACTAATCGTTCGCTTGGGTATTTCTGTCCCATTCGTGTTTTTACCATGAATCAGTTGTGTTTACATGGCCGGGTTTTAATTTGAAAGGTGGGATATGGTAGTGAATTTACAGGGTAAAGAGAGTACACCTGAGTCCTCAGGAATGGCAACGCATGGGAGGTATCATGGGTGAAATAGTATAGTCTGTTTTATCCATGGTACTGCTCATGTCTATAGGCGATAGTTATCACTTTCCTTGGGTGGGTTAGTCACTTTCGGTGGGCCGTCAGCTTGTTTACCATTCTAAGTTGCATAAAAAATCTTGTCTTATTGCATGTTTGTTTCTATCTTATTTTTAAATAACTAACTAAAAAAAAGACGTTCTAAGTTTATTTATCAAATAAGAGAAGAAAAATTAATTAAAGACAGAAAGATCAACACTCATCTATTTTATGACCGTTATAATATAATTGTACTGCATTTTCTACTTTATATTTTTTTAATAATACGATAAATGAATCATTTGTTTCTTTTAAATTAGTTGCAGTAACGTAAAGAACATATATACATATAACCTCTCATTAATGTAGGTTATATAATTTAATTATGTAAGGAATCAACAATGTAAATATGAAATATCTATTTATTATCTCATAGTTTTATTTTAATTTTCATCAATAAGACTTAGAAAATATTATTTTGAAATAAAAATTGTCTAAATACACAATCATATCAGCATAATGAATGTAGCCCTGATCGAGTAAAAAAGTACTGGGTTAATTAAATACAAATCAGTGTCGGAGATGGCGAAATCAATTATTATAAACCAATATAAATTAGTATACATTTTTTATTTAAATTGTTTGATTGCTAAGATGTGATATAGAATAAATAATATTTTAAAAAATAATTACTAGTGCGAGAAGTATTATTACCTCGGGAAATACAATCTCACAACCTGCCCTGGAAAGCCTTGCATCAAATAAGTACACGAAGTGTGCGGTGGATACCAGTGTGCTACTGAGAGAAAGATACCCTCAGTATCGCCAGACTTCTTGAGAGATTCAGCAGTCAGTTGCCAGTCACAAGTCCCCACTTTAGATCCTGGTGCCTCTACGTGGCCAGGCCAGTTACCAACGTTGAAGTGAAAACCAGTGTTTAATAACGGACCTAGGAAAGAAGAATTTGTTGTGTATTTGCTTATGCCAATTCACAATTTGACGGTTTCACTTCGATAGATTATAATCTACCGAAAAATAATGCGTCAAATTGTAAACAGTACGAGTATGCGACGGTTTACAATCTTTCGACAGTTTACAATCTCGCGAGATAGATTGTAATCTAACGGTATTTACAATCTTACGGTGACATAAACATCATAATTTCATTTATCCACACATAAACCATCTTTATAGACTGCCGAAATTGTTGGGAACTACCAGCTTCATTGACCCCAAAACATATTTGAGGTCATACCATATTGTGGAGAATCGTCCTACATTGCGTTTGCCTGTACCAGGCTTGTTTTTATATTGGAAAACCTTTTTCCTCATCGGTTATTGGTTCCCCGAACTGTCTGGATAATACACTTCATTTTCCCGATCCTTTGTTCTGTGTCGGTTACGTCTTGAAATATCTTCATTTCGAATTCTTATAGTACAACAAACAATTGTGTTTTACTATTGATCTTAATCTTGCTTGATGGGGAGTGAGAATAGCGTCGAAGGTAGAGTTTGCGTTAACTATTTACTATATACAATTTACTAATATATGCTTTTATACAAGTATTTCATTAGCTTTTTGCCCGCTACTTGGTATGCGTGGAAGAAGTAGGAAAAACAATGAATTAAATTATTTCTAGATGCCGTATCAATATAAAAGAGTTTTAAAGATACACTTTCCGAATCGCAATTGTGGGAATTGCATCTTATTTGGTATGATAGTTTTTGCGTGATACCGGGACAAACATATAGACAAAATTTCTAAATGTTTTGGCTATTACTTAAGACTCTTTATATATATTTTTTAAACATCTGTCATCTTTATTGACATTTAAATATCTGTCAAGTGGCAATCATTAAAAATAATTGCCACTTGATTTGTACTTCGGAGAACACATCAAACCGTTGTCTAGTAAGCTACGTCTAAGATCTTCATGTACAAAGTTGGTTTAGAAATTATAGACATCAGATGGCGACACGAGTTACTGTTATGGATGTAAAACAATACAGCAATTTATCTTACCCGCAGGTGAGCTAACAAACTCCACGAACAGATCCTGTGACGTTCCGATGATGGAGTATGGAAATTTGCCCATGCCGCAGAAAGTACCAATTACAGACGCCGATTCGTCTTTGCCGTCGTATATCCTTATGTAGTCGTACGGGCAATTTTCTGAACCTAAGAAAAGAAATGTAAATATGTTAGTGCCAGTATGATCGTCGTTATTATCAACATAATCATATCAGCTCGTTAACTCTTGATTTTTTTATACAACTCAGAATGGCAAACAAGCTGACGGCCCACCTGATGAAAAGTGGTAACCGTCGCCTATAGACATGAGCAGTACCATGGACATAACTGAGTATACTGTTTTGCCTGGGACAGAGGTACCTATGCAAACGACTTTTGTACAAAGTCTCCCTCTGGTAATTGCTGAACACAGGTTTCTCCTTTAAGAAGGGTTTTACTAGTAGGTGCCAAGTTTGACAGGCTGGTTGGCAACAGCAGTTAGGCTTCGATGATGCTTTAAGAAGGACGCTGCTGCCTATACCTCGATCATTAAGTTCTCATAGTCGCCACTTACGATACCCATGGGAAAGAAAAAGCCTATTCTATGCCGGGACTATAAAGCAATTTTTTACGAATACATTTTAAGCGATTTTATTTCTAAAGTGCAGTCAATAATTTCTTTTTACAGCTTAATTTGTTAAAAGACAAAAAAAAAAAATATTACGGGCAATATTCATTATTATTTTTATCTCTCGTGCACTTCTTAGACAAATTTGTCCACTTTCAAACTTTCAAAGATATATTAGTTCACAAATTGTATTAAAAAAAAATACAAAGAAGTAACCAACGTATATTGTAACATTCTTAAACAAGACACTATATGTATATTTGTACATTAATGTAATTTATTATGGTAACCCCAACTTGTATCAGAAATAAATTATTTATAAACAAACTGTGTTGCAGCCATAGCGCGATAAGGTAAAGTAACTGTAAACATTCGTGCTTGTACTAAGTGCTTTTATATAAACAATAGTATACAATTGCCAATTAAATATTAAAATAACTAACAATTCATAAAATTAATCACCTTCCTCGTCTAATTTACGATTCATTAATTCGTTTCATTGTATTACTATGAGAAAAGTATATACAATGTAAGTTGAAGTTTTATGTTTTTTATGCAACTTAGAATGGCAAACAAGCTAAGCTATAAGTTACCTATGGAAAATGGTAGCCGTTGCCTATAGATATAAATAATACCATGGATGTTACAAAACAGGCTATCACGGCCATGGTAGCATTCATGCGTTTCTATTCTTGAGAACAGCAGTGTGTTTCGTGCAGTATGGTTCGTAGCATATATTTGCCTTTGGAACCAGGGGCGGTGAAAGGAATTGTTTGAGGCCGGGACTAGAGGTCCCAGTACTAGCAATATACCCAGATCAATATCCACGCATTCCACATCTTTATGGATTTGTCACGATGGGTAAATTGATTTGCTTTCATCCTTACCTAACATTTTATACTGGCAAATATAGCCCCGTTGGTAAATATCGACAACGCAGGTAGGATTACCATTCCATTACCATTCATTTTAAATAAACCCTTCGTACCCAAACTTTACGGCAGACACACGAGTGAAAAAGATGTATCCAAATAGAACGCATAAACCATAACTTTTTTTATAAAAAAAAAAAAAAAAACTATTTAAACTATTAAACTGTGTTGTAATTTTTTTTTAAATTAGGAATTTGGCATAAAAGAAAGAGACAAAACTGTTGAATAATTAAAATAGGTTTATGACAGGTTTGACGTTTTAATGAATAAGGTGGAAAATTAATTCCCTAAACGTAACATTTCGTGTAACATTAATAATACTTCTTTTTTTTTTTGTAACAAATCTTCTTTGATTAAATATTAAAAAAAATATTTGATCGTTTTCAAGCTGTTTAATTAATTGCCCAATAGTTCAAAAACGATTTCTAATTGGAAAAGTTTTATTGAAAAAATTACGTTCCTCTACATCGACAGAGTGATTTACGCCATTTATAAATTTACTAACTTTTACCCGCGACTTTATTGATGGCGGAAAAAAGTCGTCACCCATTTCGATATCCAATATGTTAAAAGTCTGTTATGCAATATTAATTTTTGGATAACAGACTTTTTATTCATTATTATGCCAGTATATAGTATATTGTAACTAAAATATATAGATATTACCATATATTAGGTACCTATCCTTTGTTACGCCCACTGCACTGTAACATAGATATTATATTATTGCAGATATTGGAATATATTAAGTTATTCTTAATATAATTATCTGGAAAATAAATGATACTTAGAAAATATTAATTAGCTAATAAATTTCTAAGTATATTTATTTATAGATATTCATCTGTTATTTTCAACGAATCCATTAATTCAACAGAATGACGGCTACTGCGAAAAAGTGATATGAAAATAACTGGTAATAAAGGCTCTTAATAAACAAATAACATTCTTGATTAGAATTATTTTGTTTAATTCTGCTACCATTAGTATGTGTGTGAATATATATATATACGCACATTATCATTTTAGCCATTTAGTCGACTGCTGAACATAAGGCTCCCCCATAGACTGCCATAAAGGACGGTCCTAACCCATCTGTATCCATTGTCTCCCTGCTATGCATTTGAGGTCGTCACTCCATCTAGTGGAGGGTTGTCCTACACTGCGTTTACCCATACGCGGTCGCTATCGGACTTCACTTAAGGTAAGTTCGTCCAATTGTTCAATTATTTATTTATTTAACTCTTTATTGCACCACAAAATATAAAAATATACAATGACAATTAAACCATTTTAGTTAAATACAGTAACATAAATTACAGATTAAAATATATATATAATTCTAATCAAATAACCAGTACTATGGACTTCCGCAAGATTGCTATTTCAGTAAAGTAATATTTATTTAATTATTTATTTATTTCGAATTAGGCATACCGACAGTATACATAAATTAAATAACTGGTTTTGTGTAGCATGCTGATATGCATACCTATAGCAGGCGTACACAACATTGACTACACAGATTAGATTAATTTAAATTATTAGATACTACAGATTACATTAATGTTCTTACTTACATAGACAATATTCTTACATGTATCATTAACATATAAATTATCTGTGCCCGAGATTTATGATGTTACAACTAACCAAAATTACACAAGAAAGGGTCAATAATATGCGTGTGACGTCGCAAAAATAAGAAACATAATCCGAATAACCATTTATCTCTGCAAGCGTTATAAACATCTGGTAGTGGGGGTAATTTTTTTCAATACAGAAACACATGTTTGCTCTCGGTCGCCAGCCCTGGACGAGGGTCCCGTTTTGACACTTGATAAGAATTTAATATCCGGGCCATATACAGTCGTTTTATATTAGGGATTATGTTACAAGGGTTGTCTTATGTTTGTTTTTTATTATTTGTAATAACAAAATTGCGCATAGCAGGATGATAAACTAAATTTCTACAGTAATTTTACTGTCTATGGTCTTTATAATTGATTATGAATAAAAAAAGCGGATCAAGTTCGAGTCGGACTCGCGAAACGAGGATTTCGTACAAAATCATGAAAATTTTTTTGTGAAATAACTGCAAATGTACGGTTTTCGGATTTTTTCTTTTACACGTGCTACATGACATTGCTTCTTGCCAAATTTCATGATTTTAGGTCATCGGGAAGTACCCTATAGGTTTCGATTCTCTTTGCAAATGTCAAAATATGCGATATAAATGGAACATAAATGACTGTATCTTTTGATTGCGTAGAATCAGAAGCTTAACTTTTTCACTACTTTAAGAGATTGCAGACCTGTGTCTTTCTTAGGAACGCGTGGAGGTATCAAGTTGAAATTAATATCATATATATTAATTTCAACTTGATACCTCCACGCGTTCCTAAGAAAAAGGGTCTTGACAGACGGACGGACAGACGTACGACGAAGTAATCCTATAGGGATTCCGTCTTTTCCGTTGGAAGTACGGAACCCTAAAAAAACAGAAATTGTGAGAGTATTGAAACTTCAAAAGCGACCGTGTCTAATGTTTTAAGAAAGCTAGTAATATATGTGTCCACTGTTGAACATAAGTTTCTACATTGTGAGGTTTTGCCAGTAGTTGCCACGTTTGGCAGGCGGATTAGCAATCGCAGTTAGGTTTTAGAGATGTTTTAAGAGGAACTACTGCCTATCACTCGCCCTCCTTAGTCCCTTATTCCGATACCGACGGGAAAGGAAGGAGTGGCCTATTTAATGCCGGGACCACATGGCTGGTAAAGTGTGTATCAAATATAAAAAGATACGAAGGCATAACACACATAATACCAGAGGGAGACTTTGTACAAACGTCGATTGCTTGAGTACCTCTGTCCCATTCGTGTTTCTACCGTGAAACAGTTGTGTTTGCATGGCTGTGTTTCGGTTTGAAGGGCGTGAATTTACTGGGTACGGAGGAAAGAAAGAAAAACAGCTGAGTCCTCAGGAATGGCAACGCAATAGGGGATAACATGGGCGAAACAGAATACTCTGTTATGTCCATGGTACTGCTCATGTCTATAGGCGACGGTTACCACTTTCCATCAGGTGGACCGTCAGCTTGTTTGCCATTCTAAGTTGTATAAAAAAAAACATACAAAAATACAGTCAAATTGAAAAAGTAAAGAAGCAGCGTAGGCGAGGTTACCTTAAAAATATCTAGACTCTTTATATCCAGTAACTTTGTTTTTTCTATTAAAGGAATATATTGAAAGAAGTTTATACGAAAAACCAATACTTACATAAATTTTAGATCTAACATTAAATTTAACAAAAATAAAAGCCTACCCTCTTGTACCTATAAAATCGCTTTTTTCAGCACACCCAACATAATTTATGACGAATATATTTCAAGTTTTATTCTAAGAAAGCTCACAGCTGAAATAATAACGTGTCACAATGCTGAACGAGTGACAGAATTTTATAAGTACCTACTCGTACCTGCCTTTTATAGATTTACTTTTGAAGAAGGCTTTTACAGATTTATAGGAATCGTAAATGTTGTGAGCTCAACTTTATCCCTTACTAGCTTCGTGTTTGCTAGTTCGTGAAGTGGATTTTAAAAGTATGTATAATAATAAGCCTTTGAAATGTGGTGCTGGAGAAGGTTGGAGAAAATTAGCTGGAAGGATCGAATTAGCAATGAGGAGGTTCTGCTTAGAGTTGAGGAAAAAAGACACATTATTAGAACTATTGAGAACAGAAGGGGAAAAATGTTGGGACACTTGATACGATACGATGAACTTATGAACATTATAATAGAAGGTAAGATAGAAGGAAGGAGGGGAAGAGGGAGACCGAAACATAGTTAAATCAGGCAGATCAAGAAAGGAGTTGGTGTCGTGTCGTATCAAGAGGAGAAGAGACTCGCTGAAAATCGTAGTGAGTGGCAAGAGCTCCACCGACAAGAGCGCAGCTCTTAAATAGGACAGATAGATAGATAGTATAATAATAATAACCAATGTATACAACACTTACAGAGGGCTTATCAAGATAAAAGATATACCAGAGGAAAACTTTGTGCAAAAGTCGTTTGTTTGGACACCTCTGTCCCATTCGTGTTTCTACCGTGAAGTAGTTGTGTTTGCATGGCTGTGTTTCGGTTTGAAGGGTGGAATATGGCAGTGAATTTTTGGGGTACGGAGGAATAAAACCTAAGTCCTCAGGAATTGTAACGCATGGAGGTATCGGGGGCGAAACAGTATACTCTGTTATGTTCATGGTTCTGCTCATGTCTATAGGCGACGATTACAACTTTCCATCAGGTGGGCCGTCAGCTTATTTGCCATTCTAAGTTGCATAAAAAAAGTAGAAACGAAAACACATAGTAGAAACACAAGTAGAGTCTCCTTCTTTTTAAGGTCGGTTGAAAAGTGGGAAGTGTATATTCAATTCGGTTGTATTTTTTTTTGTGTGTTACCTCAGAACTCTATTATTTATAAACCGAATTGGAAAACTCTTTTTTAATGTATTAATATACATTTAATTGTTTAATCAAAATAAATGATTTTGTAAAACAAAATCTTAAATTATTATACCTATATATCGTCATAATCGTAGAATACTGACGGATCTGATAAAGATTACATATAAAGATCCGTCAGTATTCTACGACTATGACAATATGTCGATGATTAAGAACTCACCTGAAGTTATCGGCCTCATGGGGCAAGTCATGATGTTCTCGCATCGTTGACCGTCTATGTTAAATTCTTCATTCTCTATGTACAGTTTTATGTATGGCAATCGCGTATTTAAGTGATACCTGGTGAAGAAAGAAAGTTAGTTTTAATTATCAACACAGTTTGTTAATTCTATTCACCTATCTATACAGGATGTCATCAAAATGTTTAGGGATCGAAAACGCTTACGGGGTCATCCTTGATGTTACAGGCATCTATAGGTTACCGTAACCCCGTTTACTATCAGACAAGTTATATGCTTATTTGCCATCATAGTAGTATAAAAAAAAAAAAATTTCAACAAGGGTTGAAAGAGAACAAAAAATGTTGAGTCCAACCATAACTCCCATACTAACAAGGTGCGATCAGCTGTTGAATTGGTATGGTAGGCTCAAAATATGAATTAGAATTTTTTATTTAATATAGGCCACCCCTTCCTTTCCCGTAGTTGTCGTAAGAGACGACTTAGTGAGGGCGAGGGATGGGCAGCAGCGTCTCTGTTAAAACATCTCCAAAGCCTAACTGCGATTGCCAGCGGGACAAATACTGGCAAAACATACCAAGGGGGAGGCTTATGTTCAGCAGTGGACAGTTAAAGGCTGATGAAGATGGTGATGATGATAAAAAGTTATTTTAATAAATAAAAATTAAATAAGACAATAATAATTACTGGGTACAGAGGAATAACACCCGAGTCCTCAGGAATGGCAACGCATGGGGGGTATCATGGGCGAAACAGTATACTCTGTTATGTCCATGGTACTACTCATATCTATAGGCGACGGTTACCACTTTCCATCAGGTGGGCCGTCAGCTTGTTTGCCATTCTAAGTTGTATAAAAAAAATTATGTCGTACAATATTTTAAACCATTAATATTATTTTTAATACCCATTACATTACACGTCTCGTAAAGTATTATAGTAATTTATTGTGCATATTTCATATTTTATATTGTACTTAATAAGTTGGGATTATTTACAATAAGTGATTTTCAGAATGTAATCATGGCTGTGCTGATTTATTATCAAGTTTAATAAATATTTTTATGATTACATTATAAATTATGAGATTCTGATTCGAATTCCATACGTTCAAGCTATCGGGAAATTATATTTTTTTTATAATATTTAAAATGGCAAACAAACTGATGGCCTACCTGATGGAAAGGTTTTTTAGCTTAATACTAATAACTAGCAACGCCTCGACTTCTCATACTTTTTTTTAAATAATTTAACAGCCCATTTTATTCGGTAAAAGAATTTTTAAAATCGGATTCTGTATTTTTTGAATTTGTTTATTACAAACAAAAAGTAAAATTCTTCCTATTTATAATATTTATTTAGATTGAATATGTATTATGACATTTATTTATTTATTTTTTATTGCACAATAAAACTATGTACAAGTGGCGAGCTTAATGCCATATGGTATTCTCTACCAGCTAACCATAAGGTAAAAACAAAAAGCGTATGAAGGGCAGATGCGGTGATAAATATGTGACATAATTATTACAATATACTAAAATAATTATACATAACACATTAGAAATACACATAAAGTACACAAGCAACACTTTTAATATATATGTACATTAGTATCCAATAAATAATTTTATTAAAATAAAAACTTGACAAAATTCTATATGAAACAATTTTAATGTACGTACATTGCCCGCTGGTAATTAATGCTATTTTCCACTCAGGGTTTGCTGGAAGAGAACTCTTACAGAGTTAAGTTCGCCTGTTGTACATCTTCATTTAATATAAATTATAACAATGTAATTTTTGTATACAATAAATTATAAATAAATAAATAAAATCAACAAAATCGGTTAACAATTGTCAAAGATATCGTGTAAAAATAGATCAGTACCATCGTAGGCTGTTTAATAATTCTTAATTGCACCAGAAAGTTAATTATAAATTAAGCCCATTTATCGATAATTCACTCGAACTGCGACCATTATGTTGAAGTAATGGATTTACTTTCAGTACAGTAAACTGAAGTATTACGCCCCAAGGGATTAAATTTGCTGGTACAATATTTGAAAACAAATTGCCTAATTAAGTTTTAGACCGCCATTTTAAATGCTGAATGGAGCTATTATTCATAGAGATATCATCTGTTAACATAAAGTGTATTATTTCATACATTATGTGGACTAATAATAATAAGAAGATAAAAAAGAAAAGCAATTATTCAAAAGAATATTAAGCATAATTGATAAAGAAACAAACAAACAAGAAACTAAAAAAAAAATACATTTTAATATTAAAAAATAAATATTCTGTACATTGTACAAAAATATTCCATATTTATTCAGAGCCAATTAGAGATCGTCTGGATTTGCTAATAAATAATAAACTTACAAAATATATTTTTATTATTACCGAGATCATGAAAAAAAGCTTTATTTATTTATTTATTTATATGCTTTTGAATATTCACTTATAGATATTTGGTTATACAAAAATGTACACAGGCGGACTTATCCCATTATTAAAGGAATTTCTTCCAGTCAACCTCGAAATACGAAATGAAATGAAAAAAAAGTTAATATGAAATGAGAACGAAATAAAGTGAGAATTGTATGCACTATAATCAGTACATGCATTAAAAATAAGAAACATATTATTATTATTTTTAAAACTTATATTTTTTTTTTAATACGATGTATATGTATATAATATAGACATAGGTTTTCCCTAAAGACTACAGTTACATATATTATAATACTATGATAGCTACAGTATGGGAGTCTTCAAAAAGGGTATATTAGGGTTTCTTCAGGGTTGGCAACGCGCACGTGACACTCCTATTTTTTTGTTAGTAAATGTACTTAAAGAGTATATAATCAATAATTAATTACTTAATTTAAAGCGACGGTTACTATTTTCTATCAGGTGTGAAGTCAGACTGTTTTTTTTTTTTTTTTTTTTTTTACAACACAGGGGGCAAACGAGCATGCGGCCCACCTGATGGCAAGTGACTACCGCCGCCCATGATCACCCACAACACCAGCGGCATTGCAGGTGTGCTGCCGGCCTTTTAAAAAGGAATATACTCTTTTCTTGAAGGTTATGTTGTCGTATCGGTTCGGAAATACTGCTGCTGGAAGTTGATTCCAAAGAATGGTTGTGCGTGGAAGAAAGTGCCTTGAAAAACGCACGGTGGAAGACCGCCACTCGTCCAGATGATTGGGATGAAACTTTAGTTTGTGGCGGGTTGTACGGTGGTGAAAATCAGCAGCAGGTATCAATCCGAACAATTCCTCAGAACACTCCCCATGATAAATTCGGTAGAAGATGCACAGAGACGCAACATCTCTGCGCAGTTTCAATGGGTCAAGTCGGACAGTAAGGCGTTGACTATCGATAATTCGAGCCGCCCGACTTTGAATGCGGTCTAACGGAAGGAGTTGGTACTGTGGCGCTCCTGCCCACAGGTGAGAACAGTATTCCATATGCGGCCTGACTTGGGCTTTATATAATTTCAGGCGGTGTTCTGGCATGAAATATCGTCTCACCCTATTGAGCACTCCTAACTTTTTGGAAGCTATCTTAGCCTTCTCCTCCAGATGACCGCAAAACTGGACGTCGCAAGATATATCAACGCCCAGAATTCCTAGACTTGACTTTTTATCAAGGGAAGTGCCCTGAAAGTGAGGAGATACGACAAACGGCGTCTTTTTTGCGGTAAACGCGCAGACTTGTGTCTTTTTGGGGTTAAATTGGACAAGATTTTGTTCACCCCAGATCGAAACTTGATGGAGTGAAGTTTCGATTTCAGACACAAGTCTATTCCGGTACTCATCGGTATGTGCCCGCGAGATCTTTGCATGACCGGTATATAATGTATCTCCTGTACTGTCGTCCGCATAGCAATGAATATTACTTATCTGTAACATATCATTGATATGCAGAAGAAACAGAGTCGGAGATAGGACACAGCCTTGCGGGACACCAGCATTCAAAGGTTTTAAATCAGAGCATGTACCGTCGACTACGACCTTAATGCTACGTTCCTTGAGAAAACTGGCGACCCAAATGCACAGTCTCGCAGGCAACCCAAATGAAGGTAGCTTTGAAAGCAGCGCTCTATGCCACACCCGATCAAAGGCCTTCGCAATATCCAGACTAACTGCTAAGGCCTCTCCCTTACTCTCGATTGCCACTGCCCATCGGTGTGTTAAGTAAGCTAAAAGATCACCGGCCGAACGTCCCTGTCGAAAGCCATACTGGCGATCACAGATCAGCCGGTGCTCTTCTAGGTACCGGAGCAGTTGACGGTTAATGATGGATTCCATAACCTTCGAGAATAAGGAAGTGATAGCTATGGGCCTATAGTTAGCTGGATCTGAGCGATCTCCCTTTTTAGGGATCGGATGCACCAGAGCAGTCTTCCAAAACTTTGGGACTATGCCCGATGAGTAGCTAAGCCGAAAAAGACGCGTAAGAACCGGAGCCAACTCTGGTGCGCACGTCCTAAGCACAATTGGAGGAATACCATCAGGCCCACTCGACTTATGGATTTCGAGGGAGAAAAGTGCTCTACGCACTGAGCTATGCGTGAATTTAATGTCAGGCATAGAGCTCCTACAACACGTGATGGTCGGTGGTGGTTTCTCCCCGTCATCCAATGTCGAGTTTGACGCAAAGATGGATCCAAGAAGATCGGCCTTTTCTTTAGCGTTCTGGGCCAACGAGTCATCCTCCCTGCGCAAAGGTGGAAAAGATGACTTACAGAAATTCCCTTGTGCAGCTTTGGCAAGAGACCAGAAAGCTCGAGTCCCAGAGGGCAAACTAGCCAGTCTCTTGCCAATTCTACTAATATGCTCTGACTTCGCTGTGGCTATAACTCTTTTGAAAGACCTAGAGGCAGAGTTATACTTCTTTTTAAGAGCACTGGTGTTAGGATCTCGCGACGCCACACCTTTAGCCCAGGTTAGGAAGCACTCCTGTTTCAGACGAGATAATGTTTACAATTGTACTTACATTTTTTACGATACTCAGAACGGAAAATAAGCCGACGGCTCACCTGATGGAAAGTAGTATGGTTGCCTTACGTATCTATAGGCATAGACATAAATAGTACCTTACAGTGCGTGATAACATGACATATGGTGACATCAGAGAGTGCACTGTGATACTCATGCGACACCATGATCACTATCATGCAATGCTCTGTGCTAATATGTGACGATAATATACTCGTAGAATGCATTGGCTCATGGTACCTCTCATGTGTTGCATAGAAAAAAAATCATCAACATCATCAGCCTTTACCTTTAACATCCATCCCTAGTGGGGGTTTTGCCAATAGATACCACGGTTGGCAGGCAGATTGGCAACCGCAGTTAGACTTTGGTGATGTTTTAAAAGGGAATTTGCTACTCATCCCTCGACCATAAAGTACCCTTGGTCGCCTCTTACGACACTTACGGGAAAGGAAGGGTAAAGATAAATACCTGCAATGCAGATTTCTCGGGTATACTCCAGGATAAGCAGCTGACTGTACGTAACAGGTTTGCAGTCTACAATCTCGGAAGACACGCTCGCAGTATGACCTGTAAGAAAAGGTGCATTTAATACAAAGACCATGGACTTAGAATTAGGATGCTTATTATGAATGCTTAGAATCTATCAGATTAATAAATTAAATTAATCTACCTTGCTAATTGCTACTATAATTATAAACAAAATTGGGGGGAAAGGAATTGTTAGTAATGGAGATTGAGAATTCCATTGCTAGCAATGTACCCACCCAGATCGATCTCCTCGCGGTTCCCCCTGGTAACTGGGTAATTTCTGATGAATTCATCATGATGGGCTAACTGGCCTATTTTTATTCCCATGTATCACCTTTCACTGGTGCTCCGCTAACGTATCCCATTAGCGTAGGCGGGATTACCATTCTATTTTCACCCATCAAGATAAAAAAATATCATAGACAAAATAGGCCAGCTTGTCTGACCCAAATCTTTCAAATTTTAAAAGTTTGCGTTAAACTTCCGGGTATGGAATGCTAACGCCGGATTAGCCCGATTTTCGGTAGCACATATTTGATTTTTCAATTGATTTCAAAAAGAAAGAGGTTCTCAATTCGGATGTTTTTTTTTGTTTGTTATCTCATAATTCCAAACCGTCTCCGACCAAACCAATCCCATTAGTTGTAAAGCAAATCGGTTTACAACTGAAGGAGTTATGTACTCCTTCTTTTTTAGTTAGGTTGATACCTATTAGTAGATTGAATAAGATAGTTGTTCAATCCAAATTAATCAATCCATTCAATCTAATAATACATTGGAATGAATCAAAGTGGAGACCCAAGAAGCTTCTTAGTCAATCACGAATCTGAGAAGTAGTGTTGCGTAACAATCATTGGGTGTCGATTTATCAATCGATAGTTCTATGGAGTCACTGATAAATTAATAATCGAAAAAAAACATATCGATTATCGATTAAAAAATCTTACTTATACTTAATATATAAGTAGGTAAGTTTCATGTTTGTAGTTCTTGACACCTTGACGACTCGAGCAATCGTCATAAAATTTGGTATACAAATAAAAATCCATTCAATATTGCTTTTATTTGAAATGGAGAGAACTTTGTATTTTATTCTGATCACTATGTAAAAACTATCAATCAATAAAATCAGTAACATTGAAGTAGGACTGGATACGACATATAAGTTACATATAAAATTATAGGTACGCAAAGATCAGTATCTAAAGTTGGTTAGGGGTATTAAAAAACTAGTTCATTAATATTTCTGTGCCTCTAGTGAGAAAGGATATAACTCAAGTTATAGCCTTTTCCTTTTTTAGGCTACTTTAAATAAGCAAATTTTTCTCTTTCGAATGGTATAAGAATCGTAACGATATCTTTAAAAACAATAGAGATAGTAAACATGTAAAAGGCTACAATTAACAAAATATTTGTGGTAAAAAAGTCATAATTAGAAATAAAACTACAATATTTTACAAAAATAGTGCCAAAAATGATAAGATACTTAGAACCACCCTTTAAATATGAATTTATTTTTGTGTAAAATGAATCAGTTCGATTTGAACCCTTTTACACCATTTAATAGCGATTATTTTTTTATAGCGTAAAATATTGTTTTTCTTCAATACTTCAATAAAATAGTTTTAATTCAACTTAAAACTATTTTCACATGATAATTTTAATATTTTTGTTAAGTGTGATTAGGTATAATAGAATTATTTTTAAAACTATAGGTTTTACACAAAAACCGACAATTTCATAAGAAAGAGGAGAAAAAATTACTATAAATGCAATCATTGACTTGTTCAATTAGCAAATAATAAAAGCAGTAGAATTTTTTTTCTTTATTTAAAATAGTTTTTTGGCTCTCCTGAAAAGTGACCATTTTGAATTGAACCTTTTCTCACTAGAGGCACAGATTTAACCCACAGCGCGAGAGCCAAATTAAACTTGACGGGTTGTGCAAGGGAAATCCTGTTATGACACGTGTAAAGTGAGCTTTTTCAACGTCCCAGATTACTTTTGTTTACTGCAAATCTAAAAAAAGTCGCGACAAACTTTATAAGGGATGGAGAGATAAATTTGACCGATTCCATAAAACGGGAGTAAAAAGCAGTTAGGGCCTTTCCCCGTCTTTACCAAGGAATAGAACATCATAGGCTATGAATGAATAATTAATCAATAGTTTAGATACATCCATACTCTCCATTATGGGGGAGGTCTATGTTCAGTGGACAGTTAACGGCTGACATGATGATGATGATAGATACATCAATCAAAATTTAGATTTTCAAAACTACCGATTAATCGTAAATCGATTTAGGCAACACTAGTGAGCAGAATAAAACAAATCATCTCATCGCTCGAATAAATCAGTACAAACTCGCCAATTACTTAAGGCGCTTATCCCCAAAATGTCGCCAACGTCCCAGAATCATTTTCTGGCGACCAAATGGCTAGCACTTCGAGCCGTACGTGACCGAAATGGCGAATAAATCGCGGTAAGCTATTATTGTGCTCTCTGACTTATGCGTAGTAATCAAGTAGAATTAAAGATAGGGTTAGCTGAGTAAGGGACCAATGAATCTTTGTATTATAGGTGCTTTAGATGTTACCAAAGATAGATGTGAGATTTATGGGCCTTTGTTTGTAATTTGTATATTTGCTGATATTCTGTACTAAAATGGACCAAATGTATTGGTAGGATTATTCATACAGCTAGTGAAAAAAGTACCAACCGATCTGTTTTCTAAGCTTTATTAACTTGAATTCTAACACTTTCCTAAGGTTGACTGGAAGAGAATACTTTTAGCATGAAGTCATACTAGTTCATCTATCTAAAGAATAAATATGTAAATTACAAGTACTTGTTTTATACCATTGATGTTGTAATCAAGAATACGGCCTACTTGATGGTAAGCAGTTATCGTAGCTTAAGAATACTCGCAATACGTTGCCTAATCTGAAGAAACATCATTACCCCTTTTTTTGAAGAACCCCATTCTATAATCTTTTGAAAAAACCTCAATTATAAAAATTGTCCTATGCACAAGTATAATAATATAATTTATCTATATGCCAAAGTTCATTCCAACAATAACCATTCTATCTTTCTAAACTTTCACATTAATAATGCTCATTTAAGCAAGCGAGTCACAAAATTGTATATTACATGGAACGAAACGGAATTTGTTTCATCTACCAAGAAACAAAGCGCCGACCCTAATACAAGAATATTGCATAGCATACAAATATTTTACAAAATCAAATTCCAATCTAATAGTCATATCTCCACGCTCGTTACACTCCACTGATCACTCCAAAACTCAATTCAGACAATGCCAAATAGCTTTTACGAACGATTTGCTCCAAAATGTCCATCACGTAACGGTACGTCTAACCCTCTCTTTGAAGTAGACTTGCAATTTTGCAGATAATTTAAATAAGGGGAGCTATATCCCCACCTCTGCCACCCTAGGGTCTTGTATGGCATGCTTGGGCACGTTATTCAACCTTAATATGATAGAGTTTCTGTCTTTTATCTAAAATAATATTAGGATTTTAAAGGCATCCTACTTTATTTAGTATTACTTACATATATACTATTATATATATATGACTACGAAATATGTAAAGATGTTTGGATCATCATCATTATCATGACAGTCATTAACTGTGCACTGCTGAACATAGAACTCCCCAATAAGGGCAGGTCTTGCTAGTAGTTGCTCCGCTTGGCATGCAGGTTGGTAACTGCAGTTAGGCTTTGGTGATCTTTTAAGAGGGACGCTGTTGCTCATCCTTCGACTATTAAATTCCCTTAGTCGCCTCTTATGACACCCACGAAAAAGGAAAAGATGGTCCATTCTGTTAATATAGTTGGTATTTTGTAAAATTCTATATTACTTATTATGTAGATATACTTTGTTTAATTTCGTTACCATTAACATGTGTGAGACTGTCAACATTTAATGCTGAAGTATTAGAAGCTTTAAGAAGATTTTTTTAATTACTTAATGTACAGCCTCAAAAACTTACAGTTATAGTTACAGGAAAACTTACAAAATACATAGTCAAATTACATCTGTGTTGAGCCATAAATAGTTTTCACATTTGCGTCCATTCCTATTATTTACTAAACTTTGATCTTTTAGTTACAATTCAGTGATGTCCTATCGCGTGCTAGTAAGTCCTAGGTTTAAACTTTCGCGTTGTTTAAACATATTTTAAATAAACTATCGATAAAATTTTTTTGCAGCAAAATAGTATTTATTTTTTATTTTTATTTAACTCTTTATTGCACCATAAATAAAAATATACAATGATTAGTGAATAATTCAAGTAAAATACAGTAACAAAAATACAGATTAAAATGTACACATAAAGGTACAAAAGGCGGTCTTATCGCTAGGGCAATCTCTTACAGACGACCTTTGGTTAAAGGAGAACAAATAGAAATGGGCAGATGGCAGACAGAAATAGTACCTACATACCTGCTTCTTTTATATCGTTTCGACGTGGATTGGACCACGTCGTGGTCACAACAAGACTATATATACTTATATATTTTTATACATACTGGGTTTTGGATGTAAAGAAATAACATGATTATCACTTACCCCGCTATCACTTCACCTCTTCGATTTGGGTATAATTCTGGATGTTGGCCATATCGCAAGTACACTTCGAATTGCTGTTCTGCTCTGTAAAGATATTTCTAGAGTTCATAATTATTAAAAATTATTTCAAAATATAATATAGTTCATAATTATTTGACAATGGAATAATAAAAGAATTATATACAATAAATTTATACAAAATAAATTACCTAATAATATTTTTTTTTCTGACTGTTAATGACGATAGTAAAATTATTGGATTGTAGATGCATTGGACAATGTTACTTGCTAAAAAGTCCTAAAATAGTCCACTATATTAAATGATAAGGTAAGAACAAAAAAAAAAAAGAAATTATTCTAATAAATACTACCTAAGCAGGATTATCTCTCCACTGAACTAGAATATTGTTTACTTAGTTGACAAAATGTTATATATTTGCAACTTATTTCGAAAAAAGAGGAGGATCTCAATTTGGTTGTATAATTGTTTTTGTTTGTTACCTCATAACAAAATAAAATAAATCATCATGATTTGGAAAAATCTTTTTTTGCTCCTTTTTAGTATATTTTACTGTGACAATGGATGTCAAATTATATATTTACTTGACTACTGCAGTCGTCAGTTGAATGTATATATATCCAGAGGGAGACTTTGTACAAAAGTCGATTGCTTGGGTGCCTCTGTCCCATTCGTATTTCAACCGTGAAGCAGTTGTGTTTGCATGGCTGTGTTTCGGTTTGAAGGGTGGGATATGGCGTGAGGTGGGATATGGCGTGAATTTACTGGATACAGAGGCATAACACCCGAGTCCTCAGGAATGGCAACGCATGGGGGGTATCATGGGCGAAACAGTATACTCTGTTATGTCCATGGTATTGCTCATGTCTGTAGGCGACGGTTACCACTTTCCATCAGGTGGGCTGTCAGCTTGTTTGCCATTCTAAGTTGTATAAAAAAAAATCGATTCTTAAAAATACATATGCTGCGCCTCCACGAACAAACTCCTCGAGGTTTTCATGTAACGCAGTACAAATCTCTCAACCGCATATCATCGCGCATTACCGTGCTCGGCCGCATTAGAACGCAGTGTTGATCGCAAGTTTGACCTGTACTATTTGAAAACCATAGCTGGGCATCGTTAAATAATTACTTATTTAACTTTGTTAATCATTAATCCATTATTACAAAAGTTAACTTCTTTAATCGTTAATTTCAGAAGACTTAATGGAAGTTAACGGAAATTATTAACTCGTAACAGAAATTGTATTTTATAAATCGTTGTGTTAGTAATTTAGTTATAAAAAAAATATTGGTGTAAACTATAAACAATTAAAAATTTAATAAAAAAAAAGAACGTATCATTAGTCTGTAATAATAATTAGAGATCAAATTCAGGTCAAATTCAAATAGTGCCTTCTGGAAAATAGCAATAGTAAGTACATATTTAGTTAACGATTAACAGATTTATTCAAAGTTAACGGAAGTAAATTAATCCGTTAACAATTTTTAATCTTAATTCGTCATTCGAAATGTTAACTAAAGATTAACTAATTAACAGTCTCGTACCGAGTTTTGACGAGAAACGCGAAGTTTTGCACGTGGCGGTGCGGCGCGTGTATGAAGGCTCTTAATTTCTAGTACCTGCGTGTCCTACTAACCTTGAGTCGAAACTGAAATAAGTTTGATCTGTGAAGTTGTCGGCGTGGAACACAATCTTCACGAAGTTGGTCTCCGATATGAACGTCTGAGGCTGTTCGATTTCCCCACAAAACAGACCAGGCTCCTTTCTGTTAGTGACGTCTGTCTTGGCGTTGCCATCCACGATCTAAACAATGTAGCATTTTAGTGAATAATGTTATATTTTGCGGATGTCGGTATCACTCGTTAATTAATTAGTATTATTTTGTTTAGATTCGTTACTATTAGTATGCTTGCAACTGCCAACACACGAAGATTGGGTATTATTATTATTACCAGAAGTTCGTCAACCTTCCATATAAGGCATCAATCTCCGAACGCCATTTCGACCACGCATGTTTTGCAACATTTTTTTTTCCTCTATAAAAGGTTCATATAAAAGGTTGTTGACCTTTTTTTATTAACAATAGTAGTCAATCTTCGAATTTTAATAGTCACACGCATACGAGTACTAATGGTAAACAGAATTAAACAAAATAATTCTAATCAACTAACCATCAATGTGGTATTTCTGTTATTTTCAGTATTAAGAATAACAATAGCGTTAAACTCTACCAGAACTCTTAACTTCTCTCTTAACTTTACTAGAGAGAGACTTTGTACAAAAGTCGTTTGCTTAGGTACCTCTGTCCTATTCGTGTTTCAACCGTGAAGCGGTTGTGTTTGCATGGCTGTGTTTCGGTTTGAAGGGTGGGATATGGCGTGAATTTACAGGGTACAGAGGAATAACACCTGAGTCCTCACGAATGGCAACGCATGGGGGGTATCATAGGCGAAACAGTATACTCTGTTATGTCCATGGTACTGCTCATGTCTATAGGCGACGGTTACCACTTTCCATCAGGTGGACTGTCAGCTTGTTTGCCATTCTAAGTTGTATAAAAAAAAAACTCAGCAATTATTACATGTAATGAATTTAAATATCCTAGGCCAATAATAGTTATCCATGTACATATTACTAGTGTGTACTGCAATAAGTTTACAACGACAATATTCAGAGTAAAATATTGTATAACAAAAGCAAAGAAAATGTAAAGTGTAAGAATAATTATTTGTGTGCACGTGTATGTAAGTGTATATTTGTATGAGTATGTAAACACATTTATCGTATAAATTAATATTAATTAATAAATATTAACGATTACAATTATAAAAAGCAATGATAGAAACAAAGAGCCAATTACAGATTTTCACAAGCAAATTAGTAAGCGTTCGAGTCCCTCGCAATTAGTTTCTCAATGGTGTTGGTCTTTATTAGAGTATAGAAGTTCAACTATTTGAAATAATTTTAAGCAAATTTTATTACTAATTGCATAATTTTGTTTTTAATTAAAATTATTTTAAAATTTCTACAATAATTTCAATTTAAAATTGAATTACTAATTAAATATAGGTATAAAATAAAGTAATATTGAAATACTATATAATTTACTTATGTATTAATTAATCTTTTCTCAAATGGAAATTATTTATATTGTGTCATCAAAAATAGAAACATAAATTAGTCGACACTTAACGAAAGCAATGAACAAAATCGCCTACCATGTAATTAACGTTAAAAAACGCCTCTGTCCGAATAAATTTTCCAATTAACACCCAGTGAAATTACTGTGGAATGATTTTACATTGAAATTTCATTTCAAAATCGAAAACTTTGAGGAGTACGTAAGCGTAAATAAATGATCCAATAATTAGTTCTTCAAATTGGCTGTTCTCTCGCCTCCGCACGAGTTTCCAAGTTGCATCGAGTCAAGGAAGTTCAAAAATTAATTAGTTCAATTGGTGAGCCGTTCGCTGACTCAATTAGTGTACTACTTTTGTGTACACCCACAACTGGCTTCAGTGTTAAGTCGTTACACAACCAATGAATTGCATCTGAGTATTCATATTTGAATAATGTTTTGTTGTTGTCTTCATCTAAGCACTAAATAGATTAATTAATTAATTAATTTATTTATATATTGCTCACTTCACTTACAGTTTCTCAAAAAGTGTAGTGAGCTATTTTAATAACTATTTTATTAACTGATAGTTCAATTTATAAATTAAAAAAAATTAAACAACATAGACAGCTCAGCTAAGTGTTGGCTAAGTGACAGATAGACTTTTCCCGGTTTTTTTTTTCCATTTATATATATATATATATATATATATATATATATATATATATATATATAAAAATATTAATTATTAATTTATATTTTTATGTAATTAATGTACGCATCACAAAATGAAAATTTTTGTCATTTTTTTTAGGACCGTTTTATCAGATAAATTAAACATTTTTATCAAAGGAACATTAGTAAAAAATGTCAAAAAAAATTACGACATATAAGAGAGAAGCATCAACCTTATATTAACTTCATGGATCGACGCGCCATGTTTATCAAGGGACTATTTATTTAATAAATTTAGAATTTTTCGGCCTTGGTACATTTATTTGGAGAAAATACTCATGATTCTAATGTACCATACATTAGAATATCTAATCATTCCTTGATATTATTAAAAAACTTTTTTGCAATCTATATGGAAAGATCTTACTGGGATTCACAGTAAAAAATTACAAATTTTCCTGTCATTTTCAAAACACCATTAATTCAATTTCAATCTCTAATATACGTATCCACAGTAATTTCAATCGGATAACAGTAATTCGCTCCCTTAAACCGTCAATGTTCAAAACATCTCAATTCGAAACTTTTGTATTTCTTTGTGTTGATTACCAAGCAATTCCTTTTGAGATCATCTCTCACAAAATGAAGGTACCTACCGCCTGTCTATAAAGGAATATTTTTACTCCGTGCACCTTGGGCCTTACAATTTCGTTTATTGACTTGTCCGTCTCAAAGAAAATAAATTATTTCATTGCAACGAGAATTGTTACCTTCTTAATAAATAATATACATATTACAGTTTGAATGTTTCGGCGTTATTACAATGAGGAATTTCATAATAATGAAATAAAATGAAATAACACGTGTGTTGAATATTACCATTATTTTTAAGCCTTTAACTGTCCACTGCTGAACATAAGTCTGTCCTTGGGGAGTTTAGCCAGCAGTTGTCACTCTTGGCAGGCGGATTGGCAAGCGCAGTCAGGCTTTGGAGGTATTTTAAGATTGGCACCGCTGCCCAAACCTCGCCCTCCCTTAGGCGCCTCTTACGACGCCCACGGGAAAGAGGTGGCCTATTCTATGCCGGGACCACACGGCAAATGAATCTTATGTATGTTGATTATTTGATGTAACAAAACAGCACAGTTGCGCATCAATGATTGATGATGATTGATCGTGTAAACAATTGAGAAGGTTTGGGAGATATCGGGAATATTAATCGAGTACAATATTCAACGCTCGAACATAATATGAATATTCTGTACTAAGTGTAGTATAACTGTAGGACAATAATAAAGTAGTAATAGTTAGACGACGTAAAATTATAGTTATAAAACATTACACAAAGAGATACAAGAATGGTATGCTAAAATTCAAATCACTCTTTTTCTTTTTTTAAATATACTATATGGCTTCTTTCCAGCCATGATTAATAGTTGATATGTAATTAATCTTTTTCAAGCTGTAAAACTTTTGAAAGCAACAGCTGAGTTTCTTGCCTATTTTTCTCAAATTATACACAGAATTGGGAATTATTGTTATATATTATATCAGTGGTTAATTATCCACTGCTAAACATAAGCCTAGGGAGAAAGGGTTTGTTAGAAATGGAGACTGAGAATCCCATTGCTAGCAATATACCCAAACAGGTCGACCTCCTCGCGGTGCCCCCTGGAAACTATCATGGTTAATTTCTGATGAATTCATCATGATGGGCTAACTGGCCTGTTTTCATTCTCATCTATCACCCTTTACTGGTGCTCCGCCGGCGTATACCGTAAGCGCGGGCGGAGTTACCATACCATTTTCACCCAACAAAAAAAAAAAAAACATAAGCCTTTCCTTATTGGGGTATTTTGTCAGCAGTTGAATTACTTTGCAGGTTGGGTTTTGGTGATATTTTAAGAGGAACACTGCTACTCGTCCCCCAAACATTAAGTTCACTTAGACGTCTCTATAGATATTTAAAGGAAAGGAAGGAGTAGCCTATTTTATGCCAAGACCACATGGTAATCATTAAAAATGATTAATTACAATATTCATGTTTATTTGAATGACAATATTTTTATTTTGTTTTATATTTTATTTTAATACTTATGCTTAAATTATATAGATTGTTAATACAAAAAATTAAGCTCACATATTTCCTTGATAGTTTCACATGCTACTTGTACGGAAGGCTCAAAAATTAAGAACTATTCCTTAAAATCGTCTATCTGGTGTTCCTTAGCCTTATTAAAATAGTCTTAAAGTATATAATACAATAGGTGAATGCTTTTAGTAGAAATTAACAAAAATATTACAAATTTGATTTAAATAAAATTGTTAACACACCTGCATATATCCCTTATGGCACGTAGTTCCATTTATTAACGTGCCAACTTTGAACTTTTTGAAACGGATCCTCAGGATCCAATCCTTCGGTGAACCCCGAAATGCTCTAAACCTGTGAAGAGATGACATAAATTGAATTAAATATTCTTTGTACAGGTCCATAAATAACCTGGTAAGGATAACAGTAAACAATATATCGGAAATAGTAACAATTTGACATGTTCCTATCTTTAATGTAAAACTGTGCGTTTTTCAAGGCACTTTCTTCCACGCACAACCATTCTTTGGAATCAACTTCCAGCAGCAGTATTTCCGAACCGATACAAAAACATAACCTTCAAGAAAAAAGTATATTCCTTTTTAAAAGGCCGGCAGTACACCTGCAATGCCGTAGGTGTTGTGGGTGATCATGGGCGGCGGTAGTCACTTGCCATCAGGTGAGCCGCATGCTCGTTTGCCCCCTGTGTTGTAAAAAAAAAAACTATATATGTAACCTAAATATGAAAATATGACAAAATTATGTGTCTACAAAAGATCTGTTTGTTACATTTGAAGATTTTTGTACACAGCAAAATAGGCATATCTTTTTTATGCACGCATCATTTTTAATGGCAAACGAATGGTCAGCCCACCTGATAGAAAGTGGTAACCGTCGCCTATAAATGTGACCAGTATCATAAACATAACAGAGTATACCATGTCCCCCTTGACATCATTCATTTGTTGCCATTCCGGAGAACTAAGGTCTTATGCCTCTGTACCCTGTAATCGTACATCTTTGTACAAAAGGCGATTGCTTGGGTACCTCTGTCCCATTCGTGTTTCAACCGTGAAGCAGTTGTGTTTGCATGGCTGTGTTTCAGTTTGAAGGGTGGAATATGGCGTGAATTTACTGGGTACAGAGGAATAATACCTGAGTCCTCAGGAATGGCAATGGGAGGTATCATGGGCGAAACTCCATGAAACCACTCTGTTGTCTATGGTACTGCTCATGTCTATAGGTGATGGTTACCACTTTCCATCAGGTGAGTCGTCAGCTTGTTTGCCATTCTAAGTTGTATAAAAAAAATTGTGTGACGATAGTTACTATCTAGCGTCAACAGTTTCTAAGCCATTACACACGAAGGCTTCAGACGTGGCTTACCGGATGACAGATTTACGCACCCTCCGAATCATGAAAACAAGCGACAATTATTTTTCTTTGACTTCAAAAAAGAGGAGATACTCAATTCAGTGGTATTATTTTCATGTTTGTTAACTTGTTAACTTCTTTAGTTGTAAACCGATTTGAAAAATTATTTTTTTTATCTGAAAGGATATTGGTTCCATAGAAATGTTATCAAATACAGTTAATTAGTTTACTTTCTAAATCAAAGTGATTGATTTAGCCACGATTAGGGTCAGTTTTTTGGAATGCGTAGAATACAACCTAAATAATCCAGACATGAATTTGAAAAATCTGAGATTTATTCTAAGATTCTACTTTGGTTTTTGGAATCTCAACCAAGCATCATCCAACTGAGCTCTCATCGCAAATGTAGATATAAATAATACTCCATAGGAATTGTAATTGTTATGTTTACATCGAATGTCTCTCTTCGACGTGTTAAGAATGTGATATCGTGTATTCGGGCTTTGAGTTTGAATGGTAAATGGCGGGCAATTGTTATGTCAGACACTTGACCTGAATAGCTATGCGGGGTCTAATAACTCGATCGATATCTAGAGCGTGATTCGAGCAATTTGAGTCGGAGGGCCTAAATGTAATTTATGACTATCACAAATGCCTTAGCCGCAGATAAGTGAAGCTTATTTTGATGGTGTAATAATGGTTTTCTCGAGATGAACCCGGCGCGTCTTTAAGGATTTGAAAATGGTGATTTTATGGTAATATAATTCTGTTTTTATTGCCAAAAGGGAGTTTATATAAAAGTCCTCTGCATGGGTGTCTCTGATGCTCTATTTATGGCTGTATTTTGGCTTAAAGTGATATAGCAATGACATAACTGGATATGGTGGCATAACATCATAGTTGGGGAAGGGAGGAGGAATTGTTAGTAATGTAGACTATCTGTCCTATTACTACCAATATACCCTATCAGGTCAACCTCCACGCTTTCCATGGAAACCTTTGTGCCTTTTCATCCTCACCTATAATCTCTCCCTGGTGCCGTCGAGGTTACCATTTAACTCATCATCATCATATCAGCCACTAACTGTCCATTGCTGAACACAGGCGTCTCCCGTACGGGGTTTTGCCAGTAGTTGCTACGCTTGGCAGGTAAATTGGCAACCGTAGTTAGGCTTTGGTGATCGTTAAAAAGGAACGCTCCTGCCCATCCCTCGATCATTACGTTACCTTAGTCACCTCTTACAACACTCAAGGGAAAGACGACACACGGCAAACCATAGTTCTTTGGAGTGTTGTCAAGGGCATCATAGAATACATTGTGATGATCACGGTGGTCATGTCTGTACGAGACGGTCATACTTTCTATCAGGTGGTCTGTCAGTTGTTTGCCATTATTAGCTATAAAAAGAAATATTGTGGATACAATTCTTCACTAATCAATCACTCTAGATTCTAAGTGATTGGGATTGAGAAAGGATTTGGGATTATTGAGCGGGCGAGTGATAGAGGGCATTATATAAATCTATAGGCGAGAAGTAAATTGAACAGGGCTGTCAAAGGTGCCATGTCAAATTTATAACAACTGTTTGTGTAATCTAATTACCGTATATAATGTAACTAGCTGACTCGGCAAACGTTGTTTTACCATATTTATACATTATTTCGAGAATTGTATATGAAAATTTATCCTATTGCAATTATTATATTCGATTGCTATCTTGTAACCCTATTGCGGCATATAAAAATCGCGATTAAAAAACAGGGGTTGATCGTAACAGCGTGAAAATTGGAATTTGTATGTATTTTTCAATGCTAAGTCATAATAAAATAAAAATGACACAAAAATAAAAATAAAATATTTAGAGGTGGGTCACCCTTATCATTGAGGGGTAGGAAAAATAGATGTTGGCCGATTCTCAGACCTACCCGATATGCACACAAAATTTCATAAAAATCGGTAAAACCGTTTCGGAGGAGTTTGGTAACAAACACCGCGACACGAGAATTTTATATATTAGATGTAATGTAATTATATGATGTAATATCTATTGAATCACTCTATTTATTAAAAGAAACCGCATCAAAATCCGTTGCGTCGTTTTAAAGATCTAAGCATACATAAGAAGAGACAGACAAAAATCTACTCTGTTTTATACTATGTAGTGATGACAAGGGTATAACATACATACCTATATGTACATGTAAGTGGTCTGCCGAAGTTCTCAGGAGTGACTGGCGGCGAGGAGACATCATCATAAATACCAACTGTCTTGTTGCACTGCTCCTGTTTTGAATCTGTAACAATAGACGTTGTATTAATTTGTGATTCAGTTATGTAAATGTAGGCACGAGTTAGGGGTAATATTCTTAACTGACTGCTAAATAAAGGAGGGTAATGCTTTTCAAGTGTATGTATACCAAATCAGTCGTTAACTGTCCACTGCTAAATATAGGCTTCATCATAAGCGGGGTTTTGTGAGTAGTTGCCACGCTTGGCAGGCGGGTTGGCAATCGCAGTTAAACTGGTGATGTTTTAAGAAGAACGCTACTGCCCATCCCTCAAATATAAATTTCCCTTAATGGTTTCTTAAAACACCCACGGGAAAGAAAGGGGTGGCTCATTCTATACCGGGACCACAGGTTCGGTATTCTGTATGTACATATATGTTAGTTTTTTTTTTGTAGCTAAAACGTTTTCTATAAAGCACATTCTTGGTGTATGTATACTAAAACCAAAAACTTGTGTAATGCGAATAAAACTATATAAATAATAATTTTTCAAGAAAAAGTTTAAATAACATTTTCTGTCCCTTGAGTAGCAATCTTTATTTTTCATTTTTCTAATTTCACTGACAAATCTTAAAATCGTCAAATTAAATGTAGGTAGTATATTGATTTGTTGTATAACATATATATGGATGTATATACATATAATATGTAGTAACAATGTTTATACATATTTTAATAGTAAATAAATGCATCGCCTACTTAATTTTCTATTTGCCTCATGGTCGACTTGTAGAGAACGCCATTAGGTGTTAAGTTCGCTATATGTACACATACTTACATATAAAATTGTGTATTGAAAGTCAAAAACTTTCAGATTGTATTTATATATCGTCATAGTCGTAGAATACTGACGGATCTTTATATGTAATCTTGTCAGATCCGTCAGTATTCTACGACTATGACGATATGTAAGAAGTAGTGGGTAAAAGCTAGTAAATAAATAAATATTCCAGTCTCTGTTAAATTTAATTGCATTATATACTTTCCTCATATATTATTATTAGGGCAAACAAACTTTTGGAATTTAACCTTCGTACTTTTTCCGTCGTAAATCAAAGCGTCCAACTTTCTCTAACAAGTCTTATTTTCTCATAGATAACTTTGGCTAATGCTTTTTTCATGTCAGTGTTTTCCAACTATCACAACTTTATAACATGTTTAAAATATTGGAAATGCTTTTTTTTACTGATAATGTATTAAACACTAGCTTCTTCCTCCGACTTAGATACATAGATAGATAGATTGTGTATATATTATGTATGTATGTATGTATATATGTTTGTATATGATAATATCTATATAATAGTGCGCCACCTATCCTTTGTGTTTTTCTCAATGTCCTCTACCCAAAGGTTGTCTGGAAGAGATTACTTAGCGATAAGGCCGCCTTTTGTATCACTTCTCATTAATATTTACTGTATATATTTCATATGTATTAGTTTATCCATATATATTAAAAGTAATGTTTATGTATTATATGTGCATTTCTTATGTGTATATTATATTTATATTGTGTATTGCCTTAATGTGTTACTATAATTATGTCACATATTTTTCACCACATCTGCTCTTCATACGTTTTCTGTTTTTACCCAAAAGTTAGCTGGTAGAGAATGGCATATGGCATTAAGCTCGCTATTTGTACAGAATTTTATTGTGCAATAAAGAATAAATAAATAAATATTAAGTATATGCAACAATATTTCCAAGTGTATTTTGCAATATGTTCATATATGCAATATGTATTACAAGTCAACGTGGCACAGTCCAGGTTTCCGTGACATAGAGCCATGAGCGACCGTCGCGGTGGTAACTGGAAAGTTATTATGCCGTATTACAAGAGTTACAACCACTTGTCAGCTCTGCTATTTCCGTTATACGAGAATTTATTTTGTTGTTTTAAAAAGTAAACTCAGAAACTACGCGGAAGGTGTACAGCCCTTGGAATACTTTTTACTATTCTTTTAATGGTTCTGATGGTAACTGACTACCGCCGGGGGGAAGGGACTGTTAGTAATGGAGACTGAGAATCCCATTGCTAGCAATATACCCAACCAGGTTAGCGCAGGCGGGGTTACCATACCATTTTCACTCATAAAAAAAAACTGACTACTGCCGTCCATGATTACCCACAACACAATTATAATTTCTTTATTTGAATTGAATTGATATTTCATCCATTCATTTCATAATGAGCTATGCACATAAAAATTATAGATAAGTTCATTCAAAGTCTCTTAGGAATTAAGCCGTAGAAATTTCTAGCATTCCCAGCATGGTAAACAAGAAACAGAGTATAATGATATCAGGTTGCGTGCGAGAACAAGATTATCTTTCTATTACAGTTGGTTTCGAACTTTGACGAAGTTTTGTTTTTTGGTAATATACTTTCTGTTGGGGAACGAACTTGTACAATAATAAATACACAAAGAATTTCTACCTATGCATACATGTATGAAGTAAAAGAGGAAAATAATAATCCGATATATAGCATTAATATTCATGATGCTGATATTTCTTGATTCAATAAGAATTCTTATCATTTAGTATAAATTTGCATAAAAAATATTTCGAATATTTTAGAATCAAACGAAAAAGGAACTTGATGTTTATATATTTAATTTAGAAGCATAATTAATAAACAGTATATAGAAAATACAATTATCAGCACATAGAACTAATTCAATATTTTTTTTACCTTAAAACATTTTTTAATGTCTTCAATGATCAATTACTGAATAAAGTAATCCACAAAACAATATTCTTAATAATTAATTAATTGATCTCCTTTTTTAAATAAAAATTTTTGGGGTCAGAATCAAAATTCTAGTCATTATTCTTTATTTTGCAGAGAAAAAAAAAAATAGTTGATAGACAAATAAGAGATAAGCAGGTCCCTACTACAATAGAGACCTTTCGAGATTATAAAAAGAGTTTATTGCAATAAATCTTCTATGTGGTAATGGAGTAAAAATAAAGTGTCACCAGTATACTTTATCTCAAGGATATCATAAGAAGACAAAGTATATACACTGGTAGTGCAAATACAGTAGCAAGAAAATTCAAATAAAACTCTATACCAAACTTCTGATCAGCATTGTATTAGTAAGTTTTGTCCTCATCATGCCGTGTGATCCCGATATAAAACGGGCCACCCCTTTCTTCCGCATGGGTATCGTAAAAGGCGATAACCACAACAAGGTGTTTCTTAACGATCGAAGAATGGGCAGCAGCATCCCTCTTAAAACATCACCAAAGTCTAACTGCAGTTGCTGACTCGACTGCCATGCGTGGAAATTACTAGCAAAACTCCGCTTATTGGGAAGGGCTATATACCAGAGGGAAACTTTGTACCAGAGAGAGACTTTGTACAAAAGTCGTTTGCTTAAGTACTTCTGTCCCATTCGTGTTTCAACCGTAAAGCAGTTGTGTTTGCATGGCTGTGTTTCGGTTTAAAGGGTGGGATATGGCGTGAATTTACAGGGTACAGAGGAATAACATCTGAGTCCTTAGGAATGGCAACGCATGGGGGGTATCATGGGTGAAACAGTATACTCTGTTATGTCCATGATACTGCTCATATCTATAGGCGACGGTTACCACTTTCCGGTGGGCTGTCAGCTTGTTTACCATTCTAAGTTGTATAAAAATAAATTCTGCAGTGAACAGTTAACAGCTGGTATAATAACAAAAATCCTCATTATATAAAGACAAATACATATTTTGCAGCAGCAAGTTTAAAGATATATTAAGGAAGAATCTTTTAAATAATAAAGGAATTTAGTTAATCATTGTCAAATTACCACTTGAGCAACAAGTGCATGAGTGACTTTTATAATCCAGAAGAGTGTAACACCCCATAAAACATTATAGGTAACTAAACCCTTAGCGTTTTTATGTTGCGGAAGTTGTTCATCCCAAGACGCCTATAAAAATAACCGCAACTTCACTACAGCGAAGGAACTTTGAAGATATTCTGAGTACTGCGGCGCGCAGAAGTTTTAGTGCGGGAATAAAATACACTTAGTACTGACTATGGCTGTTTAGATTTCATTTAAAAATGCGAAAGCTTCCTATTTGGATTTAGCTAGATGTTATTTATCTATATTTCTTGATTAGATACCTAACAACATTGCTAAAAATACAACACTTAATAATTTCATCATACGAGAACTTCTTGCTCTACATTTGCAGCTTGCATACAATCCAATTTTATACCCTCATCATCATTGTAACGTTAACTTGGTCTTTAACTTAAGATATCCTGTAAAAATAGCTGGAATATTTTATCCTGTTATTCAACGTAGATTGTCTTTGTGAAGTATAGACTAATAAAAAGCAATCGACTGTTAAAGCACTTAACGTCTCTAGGAATAGTTTTAATTCATTGTTCACAGCTTAAGGCGTTTAAGCGATGTTTGCAATTTCAATGGAAAAACAAAAACAGATAAATAATACAAAACAAAGCTGTATAGATTTAATCCCTTTTGCTTTCATCTGACAACGAGGATTCTAAAAAAATTACGGAAGCGACACTGATCAAACGACAAACTTCCTGAAGTAGCGTTCAAGTTTTTACGCCCTTCCCTTGGGCTATCAAGCGGAACTCAACTTTTTATGAAGTTTCAAACAAAGAGGTCATTTTGTTCCACGACTTCTTTATATCCGGCTGTATTGGGTATATCCTGTGTAGGGTTAAAGTGTTTTAGGTTGTCAGAATGCTTCATTTTCTATGTCTTCTTATAAGATATCTGAAGAAATGGTGACATATTCGATTTGCAACGAAGAATATTGTAGGGATAACCCAAATATTTTGTTATAGAAGTGTCGACCACCTATTTGAGGTTCATCCATGTTGACACTCATGTTAATGTTTCAGCTGGGAGGTAATTGTGTTTGGCTGTGTTTCGGCTTGAAGGATAGGATAAAGCAACGAAATTACAGTTAGGGTATAATGGCATAATACTATAGCTCTTAGGAATGACAACATATGAATGTACCAGGGG